CTACTGTAGCTTGGCCCACTTCTCTATTTAACACACTTTAACACCAAATCTCAATCTTATATTGTAGACTATTATTTTAATCATACCAATATGATAACCCAGAGTTTCATATTACAGTTATTTTAAGTAATGGCCATTTTTAATTATCCTTTTAATACTTATTTGAAATTGAAGTGAATTTTCAGTGTCTATTACACCGTACTGTGTTTTTTATGTGAATATCTGATGTTTCATGTAGTCAAAGGAAAAACAAATTTCTAGTGTAATGTACGGTCTGATATGGAAACATATTTCCCCCCTAAAATTTAACCTTGCCCCTTACCCCCCAGATCTCAGACACGGGTGCCGCCATTGATCACCATTTTCTGTAGCTCTGATTCTGCTTGTCGAGTAGTTTCTTGCTCTGGACACTTCGTTGCCCTTCTACCTAAAAAAATATGCAATCCAAATACATTATATACACCATATATCACAGGGGCAATTATAGAGGTGAATCAGGCTGGCCCCGGCCTTCCCTTTTGAAAAATAAAAAAAAAAAAGAAAGAAAGAAAGAAAAAAACTTGATCTCTCAAAATGCCTCAGAGGTTATTTTCGTGCATCTAGAAAACAAACATTTTGCGGGGCATTCCCCCAGACCCCGCAGGGTGGCGATATCTCAATCGGCCCCACTTTTGGACATCTCTGGATCTGCACCTGTATTTAGTCTGGTAATGCATCAATTGATTAAATTGCCGGTGCTCCACTCCCAGGGTTCTGGATTCAATTTATGATAAAAACAATTTTCTAAGTCTTGTATTACTAATCTCTTTAGGCATTGAATTTACGTAAGAACACATAGAAAAAATTATTAGATTTAATCACTTTTTTTTTAAATTAATGAAGGAGGGCGGCTTTTTTTTATAGTAATCGGTACAATAAATTATTTCGCTTTTTTTTTAATTGATGAGGGAGGGACTGTTTATATTTGGCCTGTACCCGGGCCTGTAATAGTAAATATTGTATAAAAACTGGTTTAATTTTATAGTTTTTTAAAGAAAAGTGTTTTTTTTAAGAAAATTTTTTTTTTTATTCCCGCATCGATATTTCCCTAAATTTTTCACGCGGACGGGAGTGATAATCTAATAAATTTTTCTATTTGCACTAATAAGAGTCATTTAACAATGTGACAATAAGTTACACTTACGTTTTTTAAGCAGATGAATTATAAGACATATTATACCAACTGCACAGGGAAATCCAACACAAACTGACACAATTACTGCAACAAATAATGAAACAATTTATTAATAAAATTATTTATTTTATTATTTATTATTTATTTACAAAATATTTCTGGAATGATTATGTTGATGATGATTATGATAATAATAATGATGACAATAAAACTAAACTATTATACTAATATGGAAATGTATTCAACATAATGACATATTTATAACTTACTGATATCTCTGTTTTTGTTTTTAACCTGTTTTTTTTTATTATTTTCCAGAGTGGTGGTTTTACTGTCTGAAATGCAAACATAGTGTTATCATAATTTTGTTTTACTACACACAATCACAGATGAAAATAAATAATCAATGACAATATCGAATCAAATTGACTCACCTGTTTTGGTTAAACCAATCTCTTGTGAAGGCATGACTGACTCAACTGAAAATCAAGACATCTTTGTTTAATTTTTATTACGTATTGTATTACTTTACTCTAGCCTACAACAGTAAAATCCAAACCTAAGGATCAGAATATCAGATTAGTATGTCAGGGACGCTGATGGGATTCAGTGTGCATCAGATACAAGATAAATACAAACTTTATACACTTCTTTGAGAGGATGATATTGTTGTTACATTATATATTACAATGCAATACATTCTAAATTTTATTTCAATAACAATGCTGTATTCGGTTTTTGCTTTTGAGAATTCATAACAAGTTCTTATAATAAAACAAACTCACCAGAGGTACAGCTTTCAGGGCATTTCTGTGTATAAATTTGTTTATCTGGATCACACAGAACCTCGCAGCTTTCACATGTTTGGAGAAACTTTTCACAATAGTAACCTTGTGGGCACATTTTTGGACAGTCCCTTGTTTCATTAGTTCCGTAAATTACATCTGCATTTGGATGAATAAAATTATAATTACTTGTCACACAAATCTTGAAGGTATTTTGCTTAAATAAAAAATGATTAAAAGGCCCCTCCCCCACAATCCCAAATTTTTGATATGTTGTAAAACTGATTATCTACCTTTCAAAAATCTGTATCTCATTAACCGTTCCTCAGTTTTTAGTTTAACAATTATTTCTGTCTTAGAAAAATCAGGTCTACAACATATCAAAAATATTTTTTCCTCCGGAGCCTGACTTGAAATTTCCCAAAGGACTACAAGTACATAACTTATTAAGTCACATATTAAAAAAGACAATAATTTTTCATTGATTTGACAGACATTTTACTGTATGAGTCTTTAAATTTGCTGCCAGAATTTTTAGGGTACAGGCATGCAATGGATGGTATCAGTGTCCATTATTGGGTTTAAATGATTTAAACTTGTCGCAGCCATAAAAATATGCTTGATGGTAAACTTTCAGGGGGGAGGGAGGAACTATTATATAGCCTGTTTAGTCCCCTCTATCTGCTCCTGTAAAATATTATTTTTATAAAGTAAAACAAAATATTGGAAAATGACAACTTACATGGGCAATGAGACTGACAGTCATCCGGGTTGGCAAAATTACTTTTCAGGTCACAGAAAAGACCACAAGGTTCGCAAACTTGAGTGTTCTCGTGACAGTAATGCTTATCGTCACATCTTCCGTTGCACTCATCAGTCAGTGAATCAACAATATCAGACAAAAACAATGTCAGTATACAGAGAGTGTTCTTCAGCACCAGCCAATAATTCATTACTGCTATTTTTACTGAGGGCCTACCTATAAAATGAAAAAAGACATAAACATTTACTTTATATATAAAAATTCATAATCAGTATTAATGTATAATTATTATCATGAATGTTTTCCACATTTCTGGCACACATCCCAATCTAAACTTACTAATATACTTCTGGGTCTATTATGTAATAATTTTGGTAATTCGTTTCAAACAAACTAGGCTAGTGATCTTTAATTTTTGAATACTATTATTTTATGGCCTTTATTAACATAGATATTAATGTCAAGAAATGTTGAAAATGCATTTAAATTAACCTCAGTGTAAGCCATACATTAGAAGCTATACGCATTCCCTCAACCAAGTGAAGGCAAGCAGTCCCTCCAGTTTTAAAGCCAGGGCCTGATGTACCGGTATGTGACAGGCGCCCTAACTAGGTGGGTGCAGGTCAACTCGGCCACAAGTCAACTCGGCCACAAATCAACTCAGCCACAAAAAGTTCGGCTACAGCCAACTCGGCCACAAGTCAACTCGGCCACAAATCAACTCGGCCACAAGTCAACTCGGCCACAAGTTATTTAATGTAAATCGTAAGTTTTTGCATCCTTTTTCTTCAATACATGATTGAAATAAAGTACACAGTATGTTTTAGTAAAACAGGACCACCACACTACCAAAAGAGATTTGAATGCTATTGCCTATGAATTAAAAAGAGTTATTTATTAATGTGTTCGTCTTCTGTTTACTCACAACATCATACTTCAACAATAATATTAAACAACAATAACGACAATAAATTAGTAATATTTACATTAATAATACTAATTAGTCATTATGATGATAATAAATGTGATAATAACAACAACATTAATAGTAATATTTATTTTAACAAATAGTAATAATACTAGTATGGTAATAATAACGATGTTTAAATATCAATTTTATTAACTAATTAGTGATAATAACGATATTGAAGGTGATAATAGCAATAATACAACAATAATAAATTAAAGATAATGTTTATTTTTATAATAATAGTAATACTAATTAGTAATAATAATAATGATGATACTTATAATACTAGGCCTACTTAGTAATAATAGGGTAATAATATCGATAATAAAGATGATAACAACAACAATAATATTAATAATAATAATATGAGAAAAATACTAATAAAATGCCCATAACAACTTTTTAAATTACTATTATTAAAATTATAATACTAAGACTAATACATAATAATAATAATAATAATATGAATAATAATAATAAAAAATCGAAAATTATTTATTATTTATATGGTACTATAAATATATGTACAGTACTATATATATGTGTAATAATAATAATATCAGCAAAAATTTGGACAATATATAATGTTAATGCTAAGACTAATAATTAATATTAAAACTAACAATAACAATAATAACAGCAATAATAATATTAAACAACAATAACGACAATAAATTAGTAATATTTACATTAATAATACTAATTAGTCATTATGACGATAATAAATGTGATAATAACAACAACATTAATAGTAATATTTATTTTAACAAATAGTAATATTACTAGTATGGTAATAATAACAATATTTAAATATCAATTTTAATAACTAATTAGTGATAATAACGATATTGAAGGTGATAATAGCAATAACACAATAATAAATTAAAGATAATGTTTATTTTTATAATAATAGTAATACTAATTAGTAATAATAATAATGATACTTATAATACTAGGCCTACTTAGTAATAATAGGGTAATAATATCGATAATAAAGGTGACAACAACAATAATATTAATAATAATAATATGAGAAAAATACTAATAAAATGCCCATAACAACAAATTTTTAAATTACTATTATTAAAATTATAATACTAAGACTAATAAATAATAATAATAATAATAATAATAATAATATGAATACAGTAATAATAAAAAATCGAAATTATTTATTATTTATATGGTACTGTAATAATAATAATATCAGCAAAAATTTGAACAATATATAATGTTAATGCTAGGACTAATAATTAATATTAAAACTAACGGTAATGAAAACAACAATAATAATAACAACAATGACAACAATAATAACAGCAATAACAATAATAACAATTAGTACAATGTAGTACCAGTAAATGACTTGTGGCCGAGTTGATTTGTGGCCGAGATGAATTGTGGCCGAATTGACTTGTGGCCGAGTTAACTTGTGGCTGAGTTGACTTGTGGCCAAGTTAACTTGTGGCTGAGTTGACTGTGGCCGAGTTGACTTGTGGTCGAGTTGGACCGAATTCAACTAGCTAGCCTAGGCTGGCCAAAGTCAAATTGACAACACGACACGGTTCATTTCTCTAATTTAAACGCTCACTTTCCTTCCTTCTACATACCGTAGTATTACTGCTATTACTGTATTACTGCTGCTACTGTATTGTACTACCAACGGTTTGATGAATTCAAGGCGCTACTCTACTCACAATCCCCAATGAAACATCTTTAGTAATGCAATTTGTGAATGGTCGACGCAGAATGTTTTAGATTCTAGAATGTTCCTCCAGCAGATAGAGCTATTACTGTATCTCTTATGCTCCAGCAGTAGTGATTACCGTATGTTGTGCAATCTTGGCGATGACGTAAAGGTAAATCCCCGCACACGTACGAGTTACTATTAGATTTACGTCACGATAATACTGCTCCGTCGCTATCGCTGCAAAACGCATTCAACCCGACGACGTAATTATTAACATGTTGTATCATTATCTTACTCTTTCTTTGTAAATTTTAATTGATGATTAAATGTGTGTTCGATAACTAATATAATGCGTAAAATATTAGATTTAAAAATGCCTATTCCAGAAAGCCTATGCAGTGACTCATTCAGGCGTATGAACGGTAACCAACGTCTGTTGACAATCAGAGAGCGCCACCTGGCGTCATGACGACACGACTGTGGTACTCTCATACTCTATTACCATACTCTATGGATACTCTAGAGAAAGATCCAATGGTATATACCCCCTCATGCGGTGGCTGTGGACGCATTCGTTCCATAATCCATTTGCCACATTAATTTTTATTATTTCAAAGTGTCATGTTTATTTTAATGAGCTATGATATGGGACCCTATAGGATATATTCAAACCTAATATTTTATCATTTTTAACAGCTCGTGGTTTCAATGTTAAGCGTGGTAGCACTAATACAAATAATTGAAAATTAAACTGATGACGAAATAGAATAAGAAATATTTCCTATAAAATAACGCCACAACATCTTTAACATGCAACTACTTTTTATTTCAAAACTAACTTCCTACCACAGACTTTCTTAGCTTGTGTTCTTACTATTATTATTTATTATATAATTATTATTATTTTATTATTAATAATACTGTACCATATTATTGTTATTTTTATTTATAATTTATTTTTATTAATAATACTACATTATTATTATTATTATTATTATTATTATTATTATTATTACTGTTATTATTATTGATTAACAATATGTGCATACAAGCATACATATTGAATTAGTTTTCTGTTTGTTGAATGTTTTGATTGGGCCTCTTATTTTTGCTCGTAGTACGTTTGCGTATTATTTTTGCTCATAGTACGTTTCAGTGTCTTCAATGTATTACAGTATGAAATGTTTATGAAATTGTATGTATTCTGCAGCTGCAAAGGTGAACACTTTAAAATAATGTACAATGCTGATTTATATTTTCTTATGAAAGCTGTCGAGCGGCTGAACACGTCAGAATTTTTTTGTAATTCCGGAGTATATTTGAAATCAAGGTCGGTTGGTCGGCAATTTGAAAAACAACTGCGCCTAATACATTTTGGTGTTCCTCGCTAACCACCTACAGTGCATTTGTTTGGTGAAAGGGTAACCAAGTGGGGAAAAATCCCCATAAATGTTAGATATTTTGTTTTAGTCGCAATTGCACCTAGTTGATTAGCTGACCAGAGCACCATTACAAAAAAAGAAAATTAAAACAAATATTCAAAGGTTTATGTATATTTATTGTTTTCTTTCCTTTTTGTTTTAAATTCCATGATAAAACGTTCACAACATAACAAAAACTTAACACCATACAAAACATGGGTATTTACCTGTGAATACTCAACGTTTTTTCAGCATCACAAGACGGTTTGAGATTATCTTTATTAATTTATTCAATTAAACGCCCCACCTTGAATGACGTCCGCACGAATAAACGTCACAGCCCTTCTAGAGCCTTATTTGGAGTAAACACCTTCCTCGATTAAACCACTCGGGGTGTTTATTTTTCTTGATAAACAAAACTTCTTGTAAAAAAAACTAATTCTAATTAGGCTCTACTCCAGTAGAATTTAATTTCTTCTAACTTGGTTGACATCAATAAGACTTTTGATCACACAAACTAACACATTTTGATGGTAATTAAGTGTTGTAGTTCCACATTTATAGTGAAATTAAGGGGCATTAATTTGTATTACGTATTAATTTTACACCAAAAAAAAAAAAATAAATAAAGGCCTCCCCTGACGATAAACTCCCCGTTTGGTTATTTGGATAAATAAGGTATATATATTCACCTACGACCTTTCTCAATGTGTAGTGAATTTATTTTGTACATACTGTATATCATAATATAATCTAATGAAGATATCAGGATTAACTGCCGTCTATTTACATAAAAGTACTATTAAGACTCATTAAATTATAATACTAATAAGTATAATTAATAATGTATTATTATATACATATATATTTATTATATATAATCATTCATCTAATCAATCAATCATTATACATAAAATATTTTTGCATACAGCTGCATTCACATAGTATCCGAACCGAAATTCATCGACCTCATTTCAGGTGCACCGAACGCCAGCGTCCCTCCTTACAATTTATCAGATTTACTGATCGGTTCAGTGGCATTTGTATCCGAATATTCTGATTCGCCGTCAGTGCACCTTACAACATTGTTTCGTCCTTTGAGGACTCATCGGTGCAGCTCAAATATCAAAGTCTAAAATAAAGCTACCAAAGCAAGCCAACTTGCAATATGAGCGTTAAGTTTAAATATACCCTACCGAGAGTGCTAAAACAAGGGGTTGCTGCAGGATTTGCCCAACGGAGGGGTCTGATGTCCCCAATGGGGAGGGGGACGGGAGCGTAATGGGCGTAGTCAGATGTCGCTCAAAATCTTTAGAAAATGATCCAGGAGAGAATCTCCCATGAAACTATGAAAATTTAGACTTATTTATTCGATTTTAGAGTCTACTAATATGTCAAAAACATTTTTTCTTTTCCCCGACGAATTGTGTTTTGCTACCCGACGGTGACACCAAAGTGCAGCCACCCCTGGCTAAAACTAGTGAGAGCAAATTATAACAGCATGGTACTATCTTAGCCATTGAATTAATCTGCATACAATGTTATTTCATCTTTTTCATAGGCCTATATACACATTTTTATATAAAAAAAGGTATACAGTACTTAAAAATAGACTTTAAGGCCTATGATTTAAAAACAAGCTAATTTGATGTTTAGATTTAGAAATAAGCTTGAAGATGACTTTTGATTTCAGTTCTGCAAATCGGACACAGAGAAAGAGACGGGGAGCAGGAAAGACAGGTAACAAGGTGACCGCAAGGAACAAAGACTATGCAGGCGTCATCGTCCATACATATTTTACACGTCGTCTTATCACGGAGTTCCTCAATCATGCTCTGTAATTTTTCTGGGACATCGCAATCTAATTGATCACCCCCAGAAGAAATGTTCTCATCGTGGCACATAGATTCTGCACAAGACTTAGGCCTAAGTTGGGTAGAGCTTGTCACACTGCTAGGAGACTCTGTAGCTTTAATTACGGAATCAATTAACTCTGTAGCTGATTTGAAGACATCACCAGTTGATGTCAGTCTGTCCTTGACAACCTCACCAACTGCACTGACATCAAAACCCATTTCTAGAATTTGTTTGACTGCTTCTGATTTCATAGCTTCCTCGAAAGTTATTTTTTTATTCACTGATTGTCTATTTGTAGATGTTCCCTGCTGATTTCTATTTGGTGACATTTGTTGGTGTTTCTGGTCGCTTAAGTGATTGGTTGGGTTTTGCATCCGAGAAAATTCCTTCTGAACCCTCCGTACGAAGGATTCGCCTTTCTTGCGTATCAGCCATTCACATTTTGGAAACCACTTAGCGTGCTCAATCCAAGGGTCATCATTTGTCTCCCAGCTACGCAGCCCACCACCGCAATAGAAACATTTTGTCTGATCTGGCTCCCCTACTGAAAAGAAACCAGCCTCCACTAAATTTACGGGTATTTGTTGACCCTTCCATTCTTTGAATGTGATACGCCGTGCAGAGGCCTCACAATACTGTGGATACAGAGCTCGTTTAAGTTGAGGTGGTTGACGATGATGAAGCGTCTTATTTGTATCAACGATTCGTGCCGTCTGATACTCTTGTGCTGTAAAACGTTGAGAATTAATTAATGTTCGATTATTCTGGTTGAATGTGTATTTACTACTAACACTGGCGCCGTCCACTTCGTCCATGTCCTCATCCATTACACTATTTTGAACTAATGCACACCGTGGGAAGTGTCGTTTGTGTTCTTTAAACGCGTCATCGCCAATCTGCCAGTCTTTAATTTTTCCATGACAGGAATAACATTCAACCATGTCAGATTTATGAGTATAAAAGAAACCAGCCTCCGCCAGTGAGGTCTTTGAAATAATTAATTCTATTGGCCAAGAGGAGAAAGTCGCCAATCGCGTGGCAAATATCGCCATGTTGCCTTGCTTTGGATTATCAGTTGCCGAAGACTGACACTCATTGGAACTACCAATAATATTGGTATTTCCCTCAAGAAACCCACCAAGATCTTTAGTGTTGGTAGGACGAAAATTGTACATTTTAACTGTTGAAGAAAAAAAAAAAGAAATAAATAATTTGTCAAATTTAATAGGAAAATGTTGATAAAAAAACATTATTAATACATTACTGAGAAAATAAATTGAAAATAGCCTATAACTTACAGAACAAATTAACAAAAGACCAATCCTTTTTGTATATAATTAGCATCCAGTAAGTCTGGAACATTAATAGGTATTATTAATATTTATTATTAGCATTATATAATCACACATAATAAAAGGGATAAACTCTAAATAATGCTTTAACTTTAGAAGTATTTTGAATGTTGAGGAGAGGTCAAATTTGCGATGGCAGTGCCAGGAATTCAATGTTTCCCAACCGAGGGACCAATGGAATAGAGATGGAAAAAGAAGAGCCTATTTAAATAGTGTATTTAAATAGGCCTATATTAGTGCAGTAGTACAGTAGCTACTATACTTCTTTATAAAATATAAAAAAAACATTAATTACTATACAGTACTTCTTTCTAAAATATAACTTATGTAAGTCATACGGTAACTGAAACAATACTAGTCTAGTATTACTAGTAGTACTGTATACTTATACTGTACTGGCCTATTTTATACATTATTTTGATAGGCTCTTCTTTTTCCATCCTTATTTCAGAGGTCAAAACAATTTTTTACTTTTTTTTCAATCATACAGACTTGGTGTAAATACAGTAATAATTTTGGAAAAAATTTCCAGAAAAAATTAATGCGTTACAACCCTCCGTGGAGTTATGAATTTTTAAAATAACATGGTGTCAAGAATTTAGCGTCAAAGCTTATATTATAACATGGTGTCAACAATTTAGCGTCAAAGCTTATATTATTTATTATCTCTACTTCAGTATTTTGTTGGTTACACACCACTGACTTGGCTTGGGCTGGGTCAAAATGTCTACCGACATGGAACTACCTTCTTGGCTTCAATCCAAGAACTGGCCTCTCTAGGGGCCTAGGCCCCTAGTCTTAATCCAGCCATATAATGCCACAAGTCAAGTCACAACATTCGAACTCACAACATTCAATGACTCAATACCTGCCTGCCTCCTTCCTGGACCTGAGGCCTACTTTAGCTAGCTAGGTAGGGCATGGCCTAGCCTACCTAGGCTCTAAAGTAAAGGCATTACGGTTTATAGTGTAGTACAAAAACATAGCATATCTGAATACGATTATAAACATATAAATAACTACATACATGTCTCACATTAATCACGTTTTTGTCACTATAACAACTTCCTGGTATAAACAACCTTCCTTCCTTATTAATTCGTTTTCCTTATTCTGAACCGCGCCACCAACGAATGAGATAATGGCTTATTCGACTGGTTCATTTCGTGGAGTACGAATTTTCGTTGGGTATTATTTTCATTCGACTGGTTCGTAAAATAGGATTCGTTGACAACGAAAATTAACGTAACCAGAATGCGGTAATCAGCGTTAAGTTATGCACGTGACCAAAAAAATTATGGCCGATTGGTCAGTTTAGGAACAACATTTGCGTTAATATAATTTAGATTAAATTCCAGAAAATAAAAACTATAATCACCCACATTGAAGTCAAAGGCAAACAGAATTCAAGAACTGGATGAAAACATTTTTTTTTACGAAAAACCCATACTGCCACAATCCGAAGCAGCCTTGATTACGCACCGTGTATCGCCGTAACTCTGCAGCCATTTTGTTTTGTCAAGTATTTAACACCAGTTTTCTATTCGACTGGTCGTAATTTGTTAAGTAGGATTTTACCACTGCGCAGGTGGGCGTGGTTTAACAAAGAACGACCAGTCGAATACGGCCATTTTTTGGAAATAAGATGATTATGACGTCATCTGAATTGATTTGTCAAAATATTTTTTGTTATATAGTCGTATACACGATAAATCATCATCGTTCTTGTGTAAAAACTTCTCTTATTTTCTACATGAACAATTGCTTTTTAGCTTTTTATCAATTCTGGAACATCCCACACAGAAAATCAATTAAAACATATTAAACGAAGTTGCTAACAAGTCAAAATGGTTGTAGGTTGTTGTTTTATTGATTTATTTGCTATGAAAATACCGGTGGACCTAAATTATGCATAGGCTGGGCCACAGTTGTAAAAATGATGAAAACTATTGTCTTGTTAGTTTTTCATTTGGAAGATCAGGCTAAATAGGCCTACTTGACGTACGTTTTAATAATTGGAATGTTTGTTAATCTTGATTGATTGATTGATTTATTTTCCACATAATGAACAAAAAAAACAAACATATACTGTACATGGTCAAATATATTCATCTTAAACAAGAATTTCCAAAGAGATTATATATAGGCTATACTATTTTTATACACAGTATTTAAAAACATCCTGTAACAGTACATAATAAATTTGATATGAAGAAACACCTACATAATATACAATGTTTTGCATAGGCCTTTCTGGAATACAACATATCACACCTACGTAAACCATCTGACAAATTCTGGTGTATGTACTGTCAATGCAGCTTTTAGTGTTGTTTCGTTTTTGCATTGATGGTGCTCACAATAAACCGAATTTAAAGATTATTTACAGTACTGTCTCTGTGTTCTAGCATAATGAATGACACTGGCCTTGATAGTGAGAGGTTGCAGGTTCGAATCACACAAGACACTTTTTCTTACAACTGGAAGGGGAAATTTTGTTGAAGATAAGTTTAAAACATCCTAATAAGTTTAAAACATCAAATATTGTCAACCACTGATGTTTTTATATTACTAATTTTTAATATTGTGTTTACAGTGCATACAGCAAAATTTGAATATTATTTACTGATTTCCCAGCTGCGACCAAAACATAGATAGGCCCAATAGCTAAATATGGTAATAGCTTGTTAGCAAAAGACAGTTGTATGAGAGGTGTCTGGAGATGGTCTAATGGTATGATACTGGCTTTGACAGTGAAAGGTTGCACGCTTAAATCCCGCAAGAGACAATTGCTAACGTTATTACAACATAAACAGAACAGAAATAGAACGGAACTATGTGATAGTTCATGCATCCCTTGTGGATTATTGGTTTCAGTCATAGGCCTTATGAAAAAAAAAATGTCTTCTACAGTATTTGCAAGGTATGCATGGGAATGAGACATCTTAACCACCAATATACACAAATTCCACTGCAACAGACATGCATTCTAATTCAAGGCAAAAAAAGCATGAACACTTATTGCTGTATTGTTAAATTTACATACATTAATTATTGAACTTAAAAAAGAATGGAAACATGTCTTTTATTCAGTCTTGCAATGATCTCCTTCCTACTCATATAAAGATGAAATTGATATTTTTTATGATAGTTTATCCTTGTTTAAGCTTAAAATTAAGATTGTTTGATGTTTGTACCATTTATTTTGTTTACTTGTATATGTATGTTTTTTCTCCAACCTGTTAGCGGAGGGTTTTATCTCTGTGGGTTGACAATTGAATAAAATAAAATAAATTATACCACTGATTCATTGATATGAATACATTATGTTCTTGAATATGATTAGAACAATCTACTATATGAAACCTTACCATATTTTCAACAATAAAACTGGTTTTTTTTTCTCCAGAAATATGTACACTACCACAAGTACTATAAAGTACTATAACAAGTAAATCATTTAGGATAAAATAACGTATAAAATGGAAAGTAAACACAAATAAATTTAATTAAAACAAAACAACATTTAAAAAATGAATATTGATAATAATGACACAAGTTAATAAACAATATTTGGGATAACAGGGACTCGCTTGACAAAACAAAATTTAAAAATTGCCCTCCAATGATTGCGAGAAGAGATCTGTAAGCCTAGGTACATCACTTTGCAATGTCATACAAAAAAACACTGCATACACAAAAAATAATGTAAGTGAAATGGTCAATACAGTGGACAGCCTGACACAGAGATATAGTCGCATCTGTATGTACATAATTTTTTTTACTGTTAGTGCTATTATGTACTTTGCCTAAATTTGACTTTCCAGCAGCTGAAAGACAAGTAATGTGTTCTACACACTGATACAAGTAACATGAGTATCAGCAGGATTTTGGTCAAAGAAACAAATAACACAAAGATTAGACAATACATTAAGTACTGCTCAGAGGTTTTATGCTACTTAAGTAGGTTTCCTAACCACAATTCTGTTTCCCTAAATCAATGGTCATTGCTCATAAATATGTACAGTGAGATATTTTCTTTTCAATTTTACTATTAAAAACAATTGGTCTGTTTTTGAGTAGTGGAATGTTCCTATGAGCTGGCACATCAAATCTGCACTAGGGATGGAAGAAGAACTACTCAATAAGTGTTGTACTGTACCTAGACAACAAAAACATATTAAACATTATAACATTCACAATCGATGACAAGACTTGTGTGACATTTAGTTAGTACAAAATATATATAGGCACAGAGATTTTTTAAAACCATATTTATAGAGGATAACTCTTCCCAGCATATCGTAGAAGGTTAGCTGATATATACAGTAGGAGTCCTCATTTAAAAGTAGATTTCGATTTGCACTAAGCAATGCAACACTAGAACGGATTCACTCATGTGTAAAGGTCCTACGTTTTCTGTACAGCGTACATTCAGCCAATTTGCATTCCAGAATCATTGCGGCAAAGAGAACCCAATGTTCATATTTTGACATATTTGTGACGTCATTTCATTCTACTTCCTACTGTCGTGCAATTGAAAGTTCCATACTGAAATAATGTGATTCTTTATCAGCAAAAGTCTTACTACGTAGCTTAGGGATTAGAGATGTTTTTTAGTTGTGAGAAAAAAAAAATCCTTTGCTGTAACAGGATTTGAAACCAGGACTCTGAGATTGGAAGACAAGAAAGACTGAAACTCAGTATAAAAAATGCATGTCTTCTTCGGAGGGTTTTTCTGTATAAAGCACTTTCAATAGAAAGCCATTCATATTGCCAGGAAATTGATCTTGGAAATATGGCTAGAATTGTTTGCTAATGCCCAAATATATACTGGCCCTAAATATTGAAGATTAGAATAGTCACAATGTGTGTAGAAACGCGTCAGCTGGTGACTGCCGGGCGCAGCACGTGCCCGCCATCCGTCCTATTTCCGCGGTCTCATTATGCATTACGAGAATCTTCAAGCTGACCATGGACTGACACGAGTGGCATACGCTTTCATCTATCCTCGCAAAGGATTCACTTAATTTCTGATGGACAGAGAATGCTAAAATGAGTTACTTTGAGTAATCACACTGCCTTTTGTTGTCAATTAGCATAATTATAATGGAAGTGCTCTTCAAATACCCTGACATTTTCTCTTTCTATACTTTTACACCAAAACCAGCTCCTGTTCATTGGATTCTACCACTGGATCTGTTTGTACCTGGATCGGATAATGTGTTTGCTTTCCACAATCTGTAAAATACAATGAATAAAAAAATAATCAATTCATTAATTAATACTAAATTATTTATATATCATTTTAATTTTCAATTTTCAGTACAATACAATATTTAGTGGAGGTGTAGATTGATAGATACTTACATTTTTTAAGCAGATGAATTATAAGAAATATCAAGGAAATTGCAATAAAAAATCCAACAGTAACACATACAATTACTACAAAATATAAGGAAACACATAAAAAAAATAGGTTAATTTAAATTATATTTCAGAAATGATAATTAAAAATTAACAAAGGCTGACAAAAGATAGCACATTATATAATAACATATCTAGATACAATGATTAGAATCTTTACTTTAGGATTGTCTAAAGAAGAGTTTGTAATTACATTTTTATTAGGAACAATGTCAGTGAAGTGATTGCTTCAAGGAAAACAGTGTATCATCTACTGTAAAACCTCGAACAGAAGCCCAATGCACTTAATCTAGAGAAGAAGCCCATCTTGAATTGAAACCACCTCTTTAGTTTGCAAAAGTAGCCTCGAAAGCCCATGGCCGGTTTTCTTTTCAAGATAGCATTGGGCTTCTTTTGAGATGGTACAGTACATAAACTGTACATAAATTTCAAGGAAAAAAAATAAAAACATGCTTGGTTTATACAATAGTTTAGGTGATTTAATGCCGGTTAATACACTCCATGGCACAGATTGATGTTACAGTGGCCATATTTATTGTTTTAAAGTAGAAATTCCAAAAATTTATCATATTATACTATCTTATCTGAGAATAATCAGTGGACCTTTCGGTTTTATGTAAATATGTCATATGTGGCAAAGACAAGCCAAACCAGTCACTCGTCGCAAAAATCGATTTTGAGTTATTAATGCAGCGTTAAAGAGTAAAATAAGATCTACAAAATGGTAATAAAATCATTCAAATCGGACATTTCCATATGAAGTTACAAGCATTCAAGCATACAGCTGTTTAAAGAACAATATATGAGAGATCGGCCTTCAAAGTTTATGATTTCAGGCATTTTTCATGCAGAAACTATCATAAAATCTTTAAAAAGTGTTGTTTTAACATTGAAATTGGGAAAAATAACAGCACAGCATGATGTAGATACATGAACCTTAGTTTAGTGAAATAAAATAGATTTTTAAGAATTTTACATTTTAGCATGTTTTTGCTATTTTCTCTGAAACACAATTTGCGACGAGTGTCTTTGTCACATATGTGATTTTCATCCATGTAGCTTTCATATTTTTGGCACAACAAAAATAAATATAATCCAGACAGTGTATTAAGATAGCCTTTCTGCCTCTAGTTTGGGCGCTGCCAGCATTCCAGCCGGGTTGAATGTAAACATTGCAAAGAGTCTATTAATAATGGCAATAATGAAAATGATGATAAAGATAATGTTGATGACGACAGTTACAAAAAAGATGTTGGTAATATTCACTTACAGTATAATTTGTTTTCAACAAAATTTAATTCTTAACTCACTTATCACATTGTTTTTCTGTTTGCCATCTGTCCTAATTGGAGCCAGGCTTGGTTTGTCTGAAATGTAAACATGGTTTCATTATTTGTTTATATACTATATTTATATTATATTTGTTTATATATCTATATTATCACAGATGAAATCAAATCATGTGATTATACACGTTATAAAGAAAATGACACAATGTTTACTTTTCAGATGAACATTGTTTCACTATTATAACCGTATATAATAACAGATGAGTATACCTAAAAATATTAATTTTAAGTTCATTTATTTACTAAAAAAATGGTGCTAATAAATGTTAGTTATGGCTTTACTCCATAAAGCTTACTTGTGTTTGTTACATCTCTCTTTGTAGTTATGCCAATTTCTGGTGAAGGTGACGATGATGCAACTAAAATATAAACATTGTTTCATTATTCATTATTAATAATAATACCCAAATATTTATAAGGCACCAATTACAAATTGAATGATCAAAGGCATCGAGCATTACACCTGGTCACTGGATAACATACAATGGCAAACTGGCACAAAGTCGGGCACAAAGTGCAACCTTCTTTGCTCCCAGGGAAATATCCCTAGTCGTTTTGCTCATTATTATAATAATATGTTAGTGTTTTACTGCATCTTGCATATAGTAAAGGCCTTTAAGCATTCCACCCTGCTCAGAGTGTATCAGACAATTATAAAGTATTCAAAATATTGGGTTGTCAAGGAGATGACAAGGAGGTGTTGCTGCTTTTTTGTGTATTTACTACTATCCATTCATACATGAAAGAGAACAGCTTAAATCAGTTTGCTAATTCAATGGTAGCAAAATGAAATGCATCATATTTTGGATGAGATGTTTAAGGTGTTGATTCTATGTTGAACATGCCCTGCGTATGTTGCAAACGAGTAGGAGTCTGCCAAATCACCACCGGAGAACCATACTGAAAATCCTTCACACCAAATACTTCCAAATCAAATCCACTATTCAGTCAAAATTTCTTAGTATAAAAAAAATTCGCATAAAATCATTTAACAGCAGTGGTGGACCGTCAAGGCAAGCAGGGTACAGTATGCAGTGCATACCCTGGCTAAAACAAATAAAAAAAATATAGTAGTACAGGTTCTCCATTTTATTTAGCATTTCTTAGTCAGGATCTTCTATATACACCCTAATTTTTCGAGTGGAATGCTATTCATTGGAATAGCAAAGTTTTTCAATGTTTGGCCTACTTTGGTACCTATAGGATAAGCGTCAGAATAGCCAATTTAACACTGGAATGGAAGCAGTGCTTCCAAGAGTATGTGCGCATGCTCTTCTCACAAATCGGGACCTCCACTGTCGATCGGGTATTCTATCTATAAGCCTAATCTGAATCGATCAAAGTTAAAATATATTTACATATATATGAGCGGTATAGAAGAAACTTTGAATTAGTATTATTTGAATTAAAATTTGTTAAATACGTCAGGAATAAGAATTCTTTTGAAGAGAAGACAACCATGTTCTTATTAAAAATAACATGCACTGTATTTTGACTATAGAACGCAATCTGATTCTGTATAGTAGTCGTAGGTTTACGAACTTTTCCTATCACTAGCAGGCCCTAGCATCAGTGATGATGGTGTTAAGAAGGTAAAGTGGGGGATCGGTGATTATGCGGGGATAACACGCAAAATAAGGTTATATGAGGTGATTTTTAATTACTTGAGCATGATTTGCGGGGGGGGGGGACTAGGGGATGGGCGAGTATTTTTTGGTGAGTATTTTTTTTCAGGGGTAGGGGAGGATATGCGGCCCCTTGTACATCCTGTTGTATGCCAATACCTAGCATACCCTGCAATTTACCCAACGTTCCGCCACTGTTTAACATTGATCGAAAACACTTACCAAGGCAACTTTCAGGACATTTCTCTGCATATTGGTTGTCTGGATTGCAAAATATCTCGCAACTCTCACAGGATTCAAGATATTTTACACAGAAAAACCCTGGTTCACAGGGAAATGGACACGCTCTTGTTTGATTAGTATCATAAATTACATCTGAAATTGGATAAAATTATATTTAATTATAATTATATAATGCAACCAAAAAAAATAAACATAAAAAAAAACCCCGGAAATAAAATTTTAAAAACCCCATCAAATTACCATAATCAAAAGAATGTTATCAATTATTAACATTTCAAATATTTAAATGTTGTACTATAAAGATCTTTGAATTAGCTGCTAAAAATGTAAGAATAAGAGTACAAACATACTGTACACAAAAACTATAGGAATACTAGGCCTGATAGTAATTGTTATTGTCGTGATGGAATAATAGACAATAACTGGATTTGTGTCAGGAGAAACATGTATAGGTGTAATTTTGCCCTACCTGACGTGAAAATGTACCGAATACTCAGTACATTTGAAAACAACTGCGAAAAAAAAAATCGCAAGTTGTTCTCGGGTGGGAATCGAACCCACGATCTCCAGATCACTAGCCTGGCATCATACCTCTAGACCACCGAGCTTGCGCCTGATGGCCAGGGTTGAATTCGAGTCCAAGTAAGCAGCAGGTACTGCAGCTGTCAAATGCTCGAAGAGGAACATGATGTTATAATCACATCAAGCATAGCCTTTCAACGAAAATTACTTATTTATGTTAACATCATGTTCCTATTCGAGCACTGTTACTATTATTTATCTATTTGTGTTGCTTGTGTTTTGGTGCTATGCATCAAACCTAATTTGAATATAAATGAAAACTGGCGAATGTGAATTATTTATATCTAGGCTATAATCCACATGACGAAAGCCAAAGTAAACCAATGAAGACCATACAAACGTACCACAACTAGGCTAGGCCTCTAATCCTACTCTGCTCTAGGCTAGAGGCAACCTGCTGTTGTTCGAACACCGTCGTCGGGCCGTCTCTTTCTTAGCTCACTCACTCGCGGTATCAAAATACGCACTTCTTGTATGGCGTACTGTTCTGGCTACTACCATTCTTACACTAAAAAGACTAACCATTTTAATAATTTTAAGGTGATGCAATTAATGAAAGAACATGAGTCACCCAGATTGAAGTCAAACCTCGCCTCCTACACAGAACATTCCAGAGCCTGTTCCAGAATCATGTATTTTTAGATGAGGAAATTACATAATGACGTAATACTATTAAGGGGAATTCCCCACACATGACGCGCTTGAAGAAGAAGAGTACGCCATCGTGTGGTGACGGTGGACGCGTTCAACACTATTCATAATATTAATATCAATAAAACAATAATGGAGAAAGTTAGTCATTCACAAAATGCTTAGTTTTGTGTCTTTCGTGGGTGTTTCCCACCTTTATTGTCATTCCATGTAAATATATCAATAATACGTTCTCCAATGTAATACACAATTTTTATTTATATACATGCACAGTATCTTGCAAATTGTACATAGTACTCATGCTTATATACAATTTAATTAAAAGGACTGATAAAATTAATTAGATCAATTCTATAAAGGATTTGATTTTAATCATTGCCTTCATTGGAATATATATATTTTTTTTTCATCCTTTCCCTCTGTAACATATAAATCTTGTTTGAAAAGTCTTGTTTTTTCAAAGTTTAATCTTGTACATAATTCCTTTCAATTACCATATCCTATTTATGTTTACAACATTTACCTTAGTATTTTTTTCTAGAAAAGAAAACATTTGTACCACGAATACAAAATACATTATTTTTTTAAATATTTTTACTTATTTATTTATTTATTTATTTTATTTTTAAAAATTTTATTTTTCTTTTTGCTTATAGCCTTTCATTAGGCATAATTGATAAAGTTACAAATATTTGGTACTTTGGAATAAATGGTTTTACTAGTGTTATTTCTACAAAATATACTATCTGACCAATGTTCATTATTACATTTTCTTATGTTGTTACAATAGTATTTTGTATATTTTCAATTTTCTTTCACCATTTTCTTTGTCATTATACATCTAAATTTTATTTTTCAATAAGATATCGCACTTAAAGGAACCCCACAGTAATTTAAAACCTGTTTTATTAAACTCTTACAAAATTTTCTCTTCATAAATTGTAAATGCTGCAGTTGTATATATTAAATCTTCTAATACACATCCAGTTCCAAGAATAAGTTTTTAAAAATTGATACAACGTCATTTGTAATACACCTTAAGACACTACTTACTTTCCTCCAGATATGCGAACAGTGATGGCGCCAGGACCTGCCCGACGGAGGGGCTAAAGCCCCCGACCGGGGGGGGGCTGTTGGAGCGAATAGAGTCTCACTTGGCTGGGGAAAGACCCCCCACCCTCTGACGCCACCACTGTATGCGAACAACTAAACAGCAAATGGTTTCATCTTCAGGAACCTCCACATTTGCTACACATTTCGGATTCCTTAATTTTCCATATGTAGAGCCTTTTGTTTGTAGGCAATCGATTTAAAATTTTGAAATTGAATTGTGCTAGCTTTTTGCCCTTCATTTTACACACTTGTGACCAGCATGTTTTCCAGTCGTCGATGTTGTTGTTATTGAAGTATTTTTCCCATCTATTTTGTCCATTAGGTGTAACAAACATTTCATTTACAAAGTATTTTTTTGTGTTAATACCTTTAGGGCCTATATTTGGTATTAACATTATCTTTTTCTTTAAAATCAAAATGCTTAGTTACCGTACTTAGCCACATGCTTATACATAATTATATGTCTGTCATGTCAATTCTATGATAGGATATTTTTATAAGCATATGAAATTTTGTTTTTATTGTGTATTTTTTTTAATTTGAAGAGCATAGATTATATCATTGGCCTAATCTCAAACTCATTGTTGTCTTTTCCATCTTCTCACAATTTTGTTCTAAACGATTTTTTTGTTAGGGTGGTGTATATAAGCAAGAGTATCCGGTTTTATGCATATTGCTTTCTCAGATCCTATAACTTATTCTGTTGTCTTTTTTTTCCCCTTTTTTTCCCCCATTTTTTCCCATTGGGAATATTGACTCGTATCTAAAGTATCAATTTGACTTTATTGTGAAAATGTCATATCAAGGAAAACAATTATATAAATACACAACAATTCAATTCAATTCAATTAATTTAACATTTATTCAGTCAAATCGCCATACACAATAAAATTATCTTGTAGCTTGAATAGGCCTACATGATTGAACGAATTTACCATGTAAAACAACAACTGAGTGTTATAGGGAGAAGCTACCATGCTTCTATCACCCATTTTGTAGCCCTTTTTGTAAAAAATGGGTAACTCCCCTTGGAAGTTAATAATCGCCACCACCCACCCCTACTATTTTTTTTCAAAATAAAAAAGAATTAAGTGTGAAAGTGCCATTTCTGGCAATCTAGAGGAGGTGCCATATAGCTCATCTCTAACAATGGTGAGGCGGATTGTATACAATGTCCGTCTGTGAAAGACCCTCAATGGGCATCCCCTATCTCGAATTTGGACCCGCACCACTGTTAATCCCCCTACGTGGTGGCTACTAAGGTTACGAAATTCCATTCTGTATAATTAGGCCTATATTCATAGTCATGGAGTTTTCTAGTATTTTTGATATTTTGAAATTGAAGGCACCAATTCTAATAACTTGTTCAAATGGCCTGGTTTCGTCTGGCCCCTTGCTGTATGACCGTCCTGACATGGGTGACCCTTACTAGTACATTATTACAGTCAGTGTTGCCCATACAGTTCAAACAGGGCACGCAAGCTATCTTACCGCGGCAAGGTACAGACCTTTAAGAGAGTAACTCAAAAACATCAAAACACTTGTTATCAGACATGCCACGAAATTTATTGTAAAAATACAGTATTCGGAGGTACTGTACTCGCTATTTTTCAATACATTTTGTGGCAGATATCTCATACAATCTGACTCAAAGGCAAAGTCAAACACAAAGTCAAACTTTATTAACTCTTCAGTGAACGGAAACTATAAAACATTAAAAAACATCATTATTCCATACATATACAACCAAAAATTTGTTTTCAAATCTAACATATAAAATCCATTCCAGCAGGAAATAAATGGGCTGCCTCTATATTTACGTATTTTGCGTAGATATGTATATTTGCCCAAAGAACATTATATTATATACTATATACAGTATATACTTTAAACACT